AACCCCTTCTGTGATCATATTTCCAATAATATATGAAGATGATGGAAAGTAAAATTGTTAAGAACGTAATAAACCTGGGTCATCCCTTTTCTGTGCATCTTGAACCTTTTGATGTCAAAATTACCAGTCGAGAGAGTCCTTTCCAGCCCAGATGTGATAAAGTCTCTAGTAACATACTATAATACACATATTAGGGGCGAAATGTAGGCAGAAATCAAGACAAATCAAGACAACCATGAGATCAAGGTGAACAGACAAAGTATAAAACAATTCCTGAATAAACATTCTAATAGCTGTGATATATATCACGTGATAAACTTCAATAAAAAATCATAAATGAATAACAGTTGCTGTGACATTTTTATTTCCAATTCATTCATCTAGTTTTGAATCTTTGCCTGAAAATATAATTTTATTTCATTATTGTTAGATCTTATATTCAACAGTAAATACATTTAGGCAACCAAAAGATGAACCCCTTGAGGAATGAATTCGATTAGCATTGCATAGATTACATTTTGCATTTGATAATGCTCAATCATAGATATTAAAGAGGGCTCACATGAGAAAAGTCAAAGCGGTTTGTCTTGTTATTCTTCTCCAAGAATTTATCAACGTACATCTTAACTTCACTTATCATCGTCTTAAAGAGATCCTAAAAACAATCAAAAGCATAACAATTAGTGCAATGAAAATCGTGCAAAGTATCTCCAAACAAACAGGTGCATAAATAAAATTAGATGCTACCTCAAAAAGAAGAGATACTAATTGGCCAGATAACTCCAGCCGCTTGTTCCCCACATAATCCTTTAGAATAAATTAAACGACACAGTTAATAGATATAGCACATAGACCTTGCCCCCACAACGCAGCAAAAGGGGACATTATTTTTGGGATGCTCTTGAAATGACTAATAAATTATGTGATTCATGTGATCATTCAAGCTGAATGCATTAGTTTAAATGGAAAGTGAGGTTGCATTGGCTTCAGTTGTTAGAGTATGTTTTGGGGGAAAAAAATTATAAATATGAGTATCAACAAGATGTAAAGAATACCAAATCTGGCATAATCCTGATAATAATTACAGACTACATATCATCATCCCTCCTGTTTCTTTTCCCACCCTAAATCTTTAGCCACTGGGCACTTATTCCCGATAATCTTCTTATTTACTTGATTTCATAAGCTCAATGCTCATATTAATAGAAATATTCCAGAATATTTTCGACATTGTTTGTCAATGACCACTTCAACTGTTTGTTGAATGCCAATAAATAAATTTACCATAATCTCCAATACACTAAAGTCATTTTCTCATTGTGGACAAGGTCCAACCCTATGGACCTTGTAATATTTAAACCTCCTCGGCAAAAGCCATTTGGGCTTGAAAGATGGACACGAAACAGGTTGGCCATACCCAGTGCAAAAATATCAAATTAATTATGGAGCATGGGAGAGTGGCAAGCATCAAACTCGTGACAGCTGGGTCATAGGGGCTCATATACCATGTCTATGACCATTTCAAGTCAATACTAAGCAATTAAGTAAAGGCACATAAATAATTTTTATTGTAACCCTTGAAAAAAGTCTGCCTTCTTCATTGAAGCACATTTCATTCATGAAGCACAAGTAACAAGGCTCTCCCTACTCTTGTATCATGTAAAACAGAACCTTTTCTTTATTGCCTTTATACAGTCTCACATATTAAGAAAGATATTACCTTGTCATCCATGGTATCCTTATTTAGAATAGCATCCATCATGCGTCTGATCATAACAGCAACATATACACATTTTGGCCTAAAATTATTCTGATGCACCTGATGGGGGAAAAACAGAAGCAGCTTAGATCAGTCTCAACAATAATCACCAAGTATAAGAACCCTCAACTGACTGAAATCAACTTACTGGCACATTTGCAAGAAATACATCTCTCAGGACAGAGTATGCTCTGCCTTCCTATATAAAATGTTCCGAATTGACATCACAAAAAAAGTGTCAAAGTTATCATACGATATTATCAATTGCATAAATACATCAATTAAACAATTCTATTATCTGTTTGTGTGGCCGTGTTGAGACCCCCACACACACAGAGATTCACTAACCCTTTCAAATGAATCACTTGCAAACATGGACTTCTTGACCTGAACAAAGAAATACAAACATCAGGTTAATAAGAAAAACATGTTAAGCATATATATATGTATAAAAATAAAAGGGTTAAGGTGAAAATTTGTCTTGGAAGTTTTCACTCAGGAGCAATGGGCACCCTAAACTATTTTTGAGTGAAAATTTATCCTCATAAGTTTAAAATCATAACAACATTGCCCCTTAACGTTTAAAATGCTAATGGTCAAAGTCACTATTTTAACAGTCAATATTAGTTTTTTAATGGTAGGGTGCAATATTGTTACGACTTTAAACTTTTGAGGTAAATTTGCATCCAAAAAAAGTTTTGGATACCCAACGCTCCTGAGTGAAAACTTACAGGACACAGTTGCACCTTAACCAAAAATAAAAACACTAAAAGAGTTATACAGATAAAAATTGGCAACTCTTATTACACTAAAATTTTACGTACACTACCTAACAAGTGTGCATCTGACAATTTCTTGGCAATGCAGGTGTATAAAAAAGGAAAAGACGATACTATCTCCAATCCTAAATATAAGAGCCAGTTGAAGATTCAATTTGGTGCCAAATAAAAAAACTCAATCCATTTTGTCTCCCATATTTATTCATTTTTCCCCATACTGATTACACGTGTTAAGTATTTTCATTCTAATGCACACAATTAATAAGAATATTTTAAAAAAGACAATACCAATTTATTATAAATAATTAACTTAACTAATTTTTTTAATACTTGCAAATTAGTTATCTAGCTCTTATGTTAAGAACTGGAGGTAGTAATATATGAAAGGAGGAATAGAAATCCATGTCTCTTCAATGCCATTACTTTATCCCTTCGATTGTTATAAAATAAAATGGGTTGCATTTAATGCTTCCCATAGCTTGCTACGCTCAGTGGTTATTTTGGGTTGTCTTCCCAAGAAAAAAAAAACATTGAAGTGACAAAATGAACGACTTAATTCTAAGGCCAAACTAGAATTTGTTACATGCATGCACATAAGGAGGTGTCAATTGACACTCATCTTGATCGAGACCATCTTACACCAAAACATAACTTCTTATTAGATGCTTTTCCTACAAAATTCACCCTTATGTTGAAACTTCTTATCATAATATCTTACAACAAAAATAACATAAATCTAACACCTTTTTCAATCATCACTAAAACAAAACAAAAAATCAAAATGTTATTTATTTATCAATATCGAGGTTATCAACTACTTGATTACGTAGTTACTGTTATTTAATACCTGTAAGATTCAAAATACAAGATTTTTATGAGTATTACGTTGAATTCAAAAGCTAAAACAATGATACTTACTTCTTATAATCAAATATTGTGGGGTACAGATTTGTTTTATGTTAAATCAATGTCAACTGGTCCCAAAGACAGCCTAATGCCAATTGACCACTCACATACACTTTCATTCGTCAATATAAAGCAAATACAATGCAATTTAAAAAAAAAAATAATGCTAAAGAATTTCTCCATCACTATAATAATACAATCATTAAAACATTTGTACTCCATAAAGCTTCAAGTGATGAACCAAAATACCAATATTGGTTTCAATGCTCACATAGGGCCAAGGTTCTTTAGGTCCAAATAATGGGAAGATAATTTAACAAAATAATGGTTTAGAGTATATGGTCTACTTAGCCCTGGTGAGTTCTTGACACTGAACTCACCAAAACTTTTTTCAAGAAAACAAAAATATGGTCAGCCCCAAGACATCTTATATTGAGAAAATCTTCACAATCATCAGGAAAAAAAAAAAAAAAAGATAACAAACCTTTGACTCTAGATACTCCAGCGCTTGCTCTTTAGTATATACACCATTTTTTGCACATTCCTAATAATGGAGGAAAATATTCCAGAGCTCAATAATGGAGCCAATAAAATAAGATAACAGGTCTAAGCAAATAAAGACTATCTAAACACACATTTATAGATGAATAAAGTAGCATGCAACACCTGAGTTTTTTTTTCCTTCACTAAGTGCATAAGTATGCTTTTTTTATGGAATCATAATCTTGTACCATTACCTCAATAGACGGTAAAAGTAGTGAACTATAACGGGGATCTCTTCCAAGCATTTGTACAACCTCCTGATCACTCTCCATCCCCATAGCTTTCATTACAATCATAATAGGGACCTTCAAAAGAATTATAAGGAACAAATGACCAAAGCCTACTTATAATATGATAAGGAGTAAAGTTTAACATCAGTGAGTAACACAAAATGGAAACCTTTTTAGGAAATTGATTTAATTGCAACCAAATCTTCTCCTTTTCCATCACAACAACTGTTTTGGATTTTATTGCTTCCGTACTGCTTGTAACAGATGCAGTGATGCTGATAGCAAAAGAAAGAGTCAAAATACCCATTAAGACAACATACCCATGAAGAAAATATAAAATAAAATATTCGATATTTATAAAAAATTTATTAAAGAATCAGTCACTCTATGAAGCAGGCACAGAACAATTTAATAAAAAACTCATAGTGTTATAAATCGCAACCCAAAGCTACTCTTGCACATTATTATCATATCTTTTAGTTTATCTTATTTAGTTCACAAATCTCTAGCCAAAAATCATGAGCAGATCTGATTTTCTCTCTCACTACATTAATTTCTAATTATTGTAATTGATCTCTCTTGTGATCCTGAGAAGAGCCTAGTGTACTATATAAAAGCTTGACTGCCTATCAATAATATACAAGTTTATACAGTCTCTCCCTCCTACTCTATTCTTCAATATGGCATCAGAGTGCTAGTAAAATGGACTCTAGCAAGTTTCCACCTCTGTTCCATTCACTATGACGAAACCAAGGGAATATAGGTACTAGACCGACGACCCTGATGGATGACTCATCAAGTCAGACCTAGTCGAGCAACTCAAAAACCTTGGCCTCAACAACCAGTCCAGTCACATTGTCCACCATGGCACCTATAGACTTTGCTTCCATAACCAAAAACCAGAGTATGGTTATGGTGCACAAAATGAACGGTTGCAACTACCTACAGTGGTGACAGAGCATACTCATGTATCGCAGAGGGAGGCGAAAAGAGAAATATATTAATGGTGAGGCGGTTCAACCACTTCCAAGGATCCTACCTTGGAAACTTGGTTTGCATAAAACCAGGTGATGTCATAGCTATGCAACTCAATGACTCTTGAAATTACTGAGGGATATCTCCTCGCAAGGATAGCAAAAGAGATCTGGGCTGCTGCCGAACAAACTTACTCTTCGGTGGACAATACTGCAACCTTGTTTCAACTAAAGAAACAGCTTAGTGATCTCGAACAAGGTAAAATGACTGTCGTTCAATTTTATAGTTCACTAATCTGTATTTGGCAGCAATTGGGCCTCTTTGAAGTCCATTCCTAGAAGTGTGTAGCAAACGCACAATACTACAAGCAACTAGTCTAAAGAGAGAGGACATATGTATTCCTCCTCCTAGGACTGACTGATGAGTTTGAAGAAGTCAGAGGCAGAATAATACTACCTCCAGTCCTTAATATAAAACCTTGTTTGACTTTTATTTTGGTCCTAAATATAAAACCCTAATCCACTTTGTCTCTCATATTTATATATTTTTTTCAAAGCAGTCCTTCTAACAATAATAGTTCTAACCAATACACTTGATTAGTAAGAATATTTTAGGAAAGGCAATACCTATTAACAAATAACTAACTCAACTCAAATTAATACTTCCTTAATAGTTATAACCAATACTTCCTTAATCTCCTCAAATTAATCAACTAGTTCTTATAATTAAGACCGGAAGTAGTACATATTAAACTTTGTTGTCTCTCTACGAGACATTCAACATGATGAAGTGCGAAGAAAGCTGGAAACAACTCACCAAAGGCGTGTCCATCCATAATGAAGCTTCTGCACTTGCCATCAAAGGACCCAACTCTTCCGCACAAACCAGCAAGAAGAATGAAATATGGTGTGACCACTATAATAAAAGAGGGCACACCAAAGATATAGGCTGAAAATTACATGGTAAACCACCAAACCAAAAAGGTAAATAGCAAACAGCTAGGACAAGTTACCACACAAAAAGTCGGGAAGAGGATGGAGACACCCTCAACAAAGAGGAGCTAAAACTCCTACATCAAATACTCAAGAAACAGACCAGTACACCTAAAGTAAATTTGGTAAAATCAAGTAACTCCATAATTTCCCTTAATGCTATGGAAACTAGTGATTATGTCTGGATTATTGACTCCAGTGCTACTGGCCTACTGATCATATGTCTGGCAACAAAAGTTTGTTTCAAACCCTTAAGTACTGTCACAAAGATCTTAAAGTCAAGGTAGCAAATGGAATTTATGCTCCTATGTGTGGAATTGGATCTATTGAGTTATATGATCAATTAGTGATTCATAATGTGCTTTATGTACCTAAACTCACTTGCAGTTTAGTTTCTGTTAGCAAACTAACCAAAGGATAGAAATGCCAAGTCTTTTTTGATGATGACAAGCGTGTGATTCAGGTTCTGACCTCGAGGAGGAAGATTGGCATAGCTAAGGAGTGGGATGGACTCTACTATTTCTAGGGAATGAAAAACTCAACAAGACAAGCTATGGTTAGCTCGACTTCTGTAAATAAAGATAATATATTATGGCACCAAAGACAAGGGCATCCTCGTTTCAATTATATGAAACATTTGCTTCCAAATCTATTTAATAAAAATTCTACTCTTTTTCATTGTGACACTTGCCAATTTACAAAACAAACAAAGGCCATTTATCCCAAACAAACTTATAAATCAACTTCACCATTTACTCTAATTTATAGTGATATATGGGGACCGGCTAAAACTAAGACTCTTTCAAATGCCAGATGGTTTGTCACTTTTATTGATGACCATACAAGGGTAACATGGGTTTATTTACTAAAAGAAAAATCAGACCTTTAAAAAATTCCATACACTTGTTAAGAATCAATTCCAAACAACTATTAAAATGCTTAGAGGTGATAATGCCTGAGAATACATGAGCAATTCTTTCACAAAATTTCTTGAGCAATATGGAATTCATCAACAGACTTCCTGTGTATACACTCCTCAACAAAATGGGGTGATTGAAAGGAAAAACCGAAATCTCTTAGAGGTAACTAGAGCCATAATATTGGACAAAAATGTTCCAAATATTTTCTAGGGGGATGCTACCCTGACAACAACTTACCTCCTAAATTGGATGCCCTCTAAAACTCTTAAATATATCTCTCCTATCCAAAAACTTTGTGAAACTTATCCTCACATGCCCTAACAACCTGCCACGAAAGGTCCTTGGCTGTGCCGCATTTGCCTACAACAACAATGAGGGCAAACTAAGTCCAAGAGCTGAAAAATGCATTTTTCTAGGATGCTCTTCCACCCAAAAAAGGTATAAGTGCTATTGTCCTATTACCAAAAAGCTCCACTTCTCCAAAGATGTCTTCTATGAAGAAGACACCTATTATCCTAAATTACCCATTCAGGGGGAGGACTATGGTGCTAAAGAATGACTAATTCAGGCCTCAAACAACAATATACAAGAATGCACACTAGAAAACCTGCCAATCAGACCTGAAGACAAACCTGCCAGGCCTGCAAATACATCTGAAAACACCAGTACCATATCTCAAAATCCTGAAATTACACCTACCAGATCTAAAGACACTCCTAGCAGAACTGAAACACTTGAAACACAAGAAAATGCACCTGAAAACTCATCTAACAGACCTGAAACAAGTGAACCTGACACAACCAGCAAAGAACACACTCCACAAAGGGAAAACGACACCGAGAACAGACAAAACCAAGAACAAAATATGGAAGAAAGTGCTGAAAATAGAGTCTCACCCACTCCAAGGCATAGCCATGATTCCAACTGAGTAAGTGACTCGCCGAGTTACCATGGTCCAACCGGGTCCCGATTCCGGACACTGAGCGAGCTTTAATTGAAGTAGGGGCTGACGTCAGTGACACGGGGAAAGCTAATGCAATTTTTAAATCATGTTTCAAGGAACGAAATGCGACTATCAGTTTCCTTTGTCCAAAAGCTTTCTGACCGTCACGCTCGACGACATACCTTGAGGAATGAGGCTGGCCTATTGCTCTCAGAAAAGGGGTGACGTCCTGCACCCAATACCCTATACAAAAATATGTTTCTTATACTAACCTTTCTCTTAGAATGCAAAGCTTTGTGGTTAATAGTTCACAAATAAAGACACCAAAGACCTTCCAACAAGTGGTGACGTATCCAAACTGGAAGAAAGCTATAGAAGAGGAGCTAAAGGCCCTAAAAGACAATAAAACCTAGAACATCATATCTCTAACCCAAGGAAAGAAGGTGGGTGGATGCAGATGGGTGTTCAAACCTAAATTCAATCCAGATAGGAGTCTAAGCAAATACAAGGCAAGACTAGTTGCGAAAGGATACACCCAAACCTATGGCATAGAGTATTAGGAAGCTTTTGCACCAGTGCCAAGTTCAACACTATTAATGTCATACTTTCAATAGCAACTAGCCTGGATTGACCCTTACACCAATTGGACATGAAAAACGCGTTCTTAAATGGTGACTTAAAAGAAGAAGTGTACATGAAAATTCCAGATGGAGTACGAAAGCCACATAATGCCACTAAGGTTTTCAAACTAAAGAAGTCCCTGTATGGACTCAAACAATCACCCAAAGCATGGTTAGATAGATTTGCCAAAGCCCTAAAGAAAAATGGCTACTCACAAGGTCAAGCTGACCATACGATGTTCACACGACATAACAACAGCAAGGTCACTATCCTCATTGTATATGTTGATGACATTGTGATCAGGAATGACGAGACCTCTATAACCCAACTAAAAAAGGCACTAGCTAGGGAGTTTCAGGTCAAAGATCTCAAGCAAATAAAATATTTCCTCAGGATGGAGGTGGCAAAAACGAAAAATGGAATTAATATGTCACAACAAAAGTACACTCTAGATCTCTTACAAGAAACTAGACTCCTTGGAGCCAATTCAGATGAGACACCTATGGAAACAACATGTAATTTGGAAATTAAACCAGAAGGAACTCCTATGAACTCAGAAAGATACGGAAGACTTGTGGGAAAATTGATATACTTGACCCACACTCGACGAGACATCAGCTATGCAATCGAGATTGTTAGTCAATTCTTGCACCACCCTAAGGAAGAACATCTAGAAGCAATACTCCGAATCCTAAGATACTTAAAACTCAACCCCGAGAAAGGCATTTTCTTTGCCAAAAATAGAACAAGAGGTATAGAGATTTATATCAATGCAGATCATGGCAGGTCTGTAGAGAATAGGAGATCTACCACCGGATATTGCTCCTATGTCTGGGAAAATTTGGTTACATGGAGAAGCAAAAAAAAAAAAAAAGTTAGTTGTGTCTCGAAGCAGTGCTGGAGCAAAGCCAAGAGTAGTAGCACTAGGTGTCTGTGAAGGAATTTGGATTATCAAACCCTTGAAAGAGCTTAAAATTCCTTATGAAGGACCTATGCACTTGTGGTGTGACAATAAACCTAGTATGGAAATGACCAAAAATCCGATCTATCATGATAGGACTAAGCACATGGAAATTGACAGGCATTTTATCAAAGAGAAAGTGGAAGAAGGCTTAATGGAACTATCCTACATCTACTCATCAAACCAGATTTCGAACATCATGACCAAACCTCTTGCCAAAGTACAGTTCGAAGGGCTCCGAGGCAAGTTGGAAATGCTAGATATCTATACTTCAGCTTGAGGAGGAGTGTTAGAAATCATAGCCCAAATCTCCTCTTGCTCGTTATTATCATATCTTTTATTTTACCTCATTCAGTTCACAGATCTCTAGCCACAAATCAGGGGCAGATCTAATTCTCTCTCACTACATTAATTTCTAATTATTGTAATTGATCTCTCTTGTGATTCTAAGAAGAGCCCAGTGTTCTGTACAAAACATGGACTCTCTATCAATAATATACAAGTTTAAACAGTCTCTCGACATCTCCCTCCTACCCTATTCTTCAATACATAGTAACCATTATCACTTCCAAGGTCCAAACATCATTTTTCATTGGGTGCAATAGGATTCCATCTCAATAAAAATTTTGCTATATTGAAACATTTATCACCAAATGAAAAATAGGATGGAATGTTGCGGAATATCATCTTGCTAAAATAATCAAATCAAAAGTAGTGGATCATCCTTCAATAAGCCTTTGAGAAACATGAAATAGTATCAACAATTTAATCTACAATGTGGAAGGAATAAGACATTAACCATTAAGAAACAGATTTCACCATAAACAGCTGAAGATAGTTAATAAAACTTTCAATACAGGCCCCAGTCCAAAGAGAATCCAAGGCATGAAACTCAATATTATTAAGTCAATTAATATCAGTACCCAAAATAAGATACTACAGATATCACGCAAGAGTACTCAAATTACATAAGACTGGGAGAGGAGAAGGAAGATAGAGATCAATCCAAAATTAAAGATTTAGGCATGTCCATATGCACATATTATTATATAAATATGTGATTATATGACAAGGCGAAGCATGAGGTCTAACTAGAATATAAATATGCATATGTTACATAAATATATAATTATATGACAAGGTGAAGCATAAGGTATAACTAGAATCCAGAAGAACTACTAACTTTCCCTTCTTGTCTGTGTCAATAATTATTCTATTCTTTGAAAGTTGCTCTTGCATTAACATCACCTGAAAAAGATTTACGGCATTAAAGGGAGAAATTATCAAGAAAAAATAAAAGCAACATTCCTCTAAAGAGTTGAGTTCATAGAAAAGAATAGAGAGAGAGAGAGAATTTATCATTGATGAAGTTGACCGTACAAACTACCCCAACATTCTCTCAAATACTAGAATCCTACCAATATTATAGGATAACGGACATGCAATAAATCATACAATAAATAATTGATTCAATATATAATAAGGAAAAGATTGCGCTGGAAGTTGGCTTTTTCATATTCGGCCCATTTTATAACACTAGTTTTATCTGTTTAGTGTTTAGCAGTTTGTTATCTTTATCATTATTAGCACTGAATTCTGCATATCTTAAGGGATCACATAATAATATCTTTTGATTTATTTTTTCAATTATTGAGAGGAATTTATGTGATTTAGTCAACCTCTGTCCCTATATATGTATGGATCAGTTTCAGTAGAATAAGAATAAGAATAGTGTTGCGCAATTTCAGATTATATCATGGGAAAGACTGAAAATACTAAGGAGTAAGGACGGATAGACAAAAAACACCAATGTCCGCCTCCTTATCCAGAGTCTTTACTTATCTCCTGTTTCCAAATCCATATTTCCAACTTGCTATCTACTTAATTCAGTCAACCAACTTTTCTGTGTTCAAGGCTTGCCACTTGAACAGCAAGCACAAATTGAGAAACACACAGCAGAAACTGCTAACAATATTGTTTTGCTGATTTCATTCTAGTATGGAAAGGTATCATGTTTAGGAGCGGATGGGGAACAAGTTAAAAAGAAGTAAAACTGGATTAGGTAACAACCCCCCAACAAGTATAACATTGAAATCAAAATGATGCTTAGCATTTTATTTATCTTTCTTATTCAGCAATTTTCATTTTATTTCTTTTACTTTCATCATTTCAAATTCATTCCTTAAATTACATTGCTTTAATCTAAATGTGAGTATCAACTTGACTTAACAAATAAAAGGCTTTGCAAATTATATAATGTTAAGAAGCATTTGAGAAAAGTCCGAATATCACCTTTTCTGTTCCTTTGATTATGAAATACCCACCAGGATCAAGAGGGCACTCACCTATCCATTGGGAAAAGAAGGTAGATTACTATAAGGAATTGATAAGAGGACAAAGTAAAGGCACAAAAACCCAAAAATATCCAAATTAAATCCTCTACACAAACGAACCAAGTTTTGCAAGTTCAGCTTCATCTTTCCCATACAGGACACAACAGCAACTCCTTAACATAATAGGCATCCTTCCAATAACAACATCATTCTGCAACGAAAAAAATACACAGGACTGATAGCATCTATATAGTCTATGCCGAAGTCATTTATAAATAGTGTTTTTATACCTTCTCCACTTTAGCCATCTGACCAGGGCCTCCTTGAATATACTCAATATTAACCAATATTGGAGCCGTATATCTTGTGTAAGACACCAAAAAATGAAACACTATTCAGTTAGTACTTGACACAAAGAATGAGTCTAGATTTTGTCTAGTCACAAGTCCCTATTATCATTCAGCACAAAACTACTTTATTGCTCCTTTCTTTCACTTGCGACATCATGGAACTAAACAGACACAATCAAGAGCAACCTTGCAAATAATTAAATATCTATCTTAAGGATTGATATAAAACATAAGATAGTGACAATGTTTCTCACAAAAACAAATCTTACGTCTGGTCAGATAAGCGGCATGTATGTGGTGTAATTTTCTCTGGACTACCATCTACCATTATTGAAGGCTCACCAATTCTGACATCCTTAAACCTACAAAAAGAGCCAATTGTCCACCACTCATAAAGAAAGCAAACTGAAGTACCGGACGCCTTTGCAAACTAAAGAACGGCAATATGAATTGATTCACACAAAGTTCCTTTTTCATCGCAACTAAGTTATTAAGAAAAAACTTTGGTGTCACCTATCAACTTAAAATTTACGCCAGTTCTCAGTTCCAGCATTTAGAACTGTCTAATTCAAAAAATTGAAAATATCAAACTTAAATATATCCAAAGAACACTCACAAGTAGCACAACTAACTAAATGTATGAGCAAACCAACATTTGTACCTTAAATATATGCTCGGGTGCTTTGACGCCACAATACGGTCATTTGCACGAACGATTTTCTTAATGCCGGTTTTCACAAAATAGTTAAACGAATCCAAATGTTGCTTCACCAATCCTCTAACCTACAAAATACCGGTATAATAACATCCCGTAAGCGATAGCAAATACCACTAACGAATCAACATGTAATGCAAGATTACCTTCAGGAACTCGGGAAGAAGCTGAAATTTGTCGACAGCTGATTTTACAGGTGCGGCAAGAAATTGCTTATCAACGCCAACACTGAACATTTGCAGTGAAAACATACAGAAAATAAGAATGAACTATATACTAAGGAAGAAGAAATCCAAAAAAACAAATAAAGATGTGAAGAAGAAAGGATGTACGGTTGATTCTGCTGCATTGTGGGAAAAAAAATCAGCTGCTGCTAGGGGGTTACGAATCCAAAAACAATTTGAAAAGCAGCGATTGATAAGTATAGATTGATTAGCAAGCCTCGCTCGCGCTCCTCTTACGAACCCGGCAGACGCCTCGGCAACTGCTAGGCAACCGCTCAAGCGCTCCGTTACACTAGACAGGTCCCCACAAGGCTAAAACCCTTCAAGAACCCCTTCAAGCCCCGTTTGAAACAATTTATTTCGGTTTGGAAAAATTTGTAAGGCATGTTTTGGAAGAGTTTATAAATAGTTTTTTAATAATGACTTATCAAATACAAGACAAGTACGTGAGAAGAATTTTATTTCGACTTACGTAAAACGTGCTTATAAGAGATTTCTTAAACTTTTCCAAATACGTACTAAGTAACTTATAAATAGTTTTTCAATAGTGATTTATAAAATACTACCTCGGTCCTTAATATAAGACCTTGTTTGACTTTTATTTTGGTCCTAAATATAATACCCCAATCCACTTTATCTCTCATATTTATACATTTTTTTTCCAAAATAGCCCTTCTAACAATGATAGTTATAGTCAATATACTTGATCAGCAAGGATGTTTTAAGAAAGACAACACCTATTTAGGACAAATAACTAACTCAACTTACTTCCTTAATCTCCTCAAATTAGTCAACTGGCTCTTATAATTAGAATCGGAGGTAGTATGAGACAAGGATATTAGAGGAGTTTTGTTTCAACTTATGTGAAACGTGTTTATAAAAAATTTCTGCTATGATCTCAAACAGACACAAGGTTTAGAAGCCCGTTTAGAATGGGTGGTAATACAGGTAACTCAGGGTTAGCCCGTTCAGATTAAACCCAAGTCGGGTTAGAAAGTATTATTCAAATGATCCTAACCCATATTCTAGTTTACGTAAAACGTGTTTACGAGTAATTTTTACCACTATCCCAAATAGGCTCAAAGTGGGTTGATGAGTTAGCCTATCAACAATTATTTACCTTTTCTTTTAAATTTTTTTATCTTTTAATATTTTTCTTATTCAATATCCAAAAAAATATAATGAGATTTTTTTTTGAAATATTTGATTGAAAGTACCAAATAAATTATATACATATTTTTAAAATTTTTAGATAGAATTTATATATAATAATATAATTTTAATAATTTTAAAAAATTTTAAAATAAATGCAGGTTAGCGAGTTGCGGTTTACTGGCGGGTTCACTTTTAGCCAACATTTTTTGGTAGGTTGGTGGGTTCATATTACCAACTGTAGTATGTTTATAGAAAAAAGATATACTCTTCTAGTCCTATTTATAGGGCAAAGAGAGAAGGTCTTTTTATCTTATTTATAAGTTACTTCATTAAATTTTTACCATGAATGTATCATATTGTCCTTCATTTATTATAATGTAGATATTTTTTTAAAGATGCATATATTAAATAGGGATAAAGTTGGAAAGCTATTATATTTTAATGAAGAGTTAATGCAATTTAAGGTTTTCTTTTTGTCTGTGTGAAACATGTTGAAAATGCTTTATAAATAGGACCAGAAGAGTAATTTTTAGGCTAAAATACGCATAATTCTCCTGAACTTTAAGTCAGTTGTATATAACAACGCTGAACTTTAAAAATTTAAATTTAACACCCTCACCTTTAACATTTTTACCACTAACCCCTTGCCGTTAAAAAAACACAGTTAAATTTAACAGCACATGCCATGTCAGATTAAATAAAAATAAATGGCAAAAACACCTGGTAGATGATGTGAAATTGAGTGGTCTAGGAAATTATAATAAATCGAATTAAAATTAACAACATCAATTGAACGCAGCATTTTATTATTTGATCCCCATCTTTGTCTATGCTTTTCTGGCCTCTCCTCGTCATTTACTTCGAATCTGCAAAGTTTTCAGAGGTCATCATGTTTCCTTGGAAATCCCAATCCATAGGCATCCCGAATCTCCATTAACTTCTTCGATTTTTTCAAATCTAGCTGCAGTATTAATTTCTTGTGTGTTTTGATTATACTGCTATGGACACTTTATATAACCACTCTTGCAGCACCATTTATGGTCAATTTTTCGCGCAACTTTATATCACCCGCAGATTTGATATGTAGTTAAACGCCAGAGCCTAATTCGAAGATCATTCTCCTTTGTTGGATATGGTTATTAATGAGAAAGCTTTGCAAAATTTTATATATAAATATGCAACCCAAGCTTTATATATGCGTAAAATGATTTGAACCGCCATGAATGGTAGATGACCTCTTTAAGCTTACTAGATTCGAAGAAAAGAATGAAGGGAGGCCAGTAAAAGAGAGACGAAGTAGGGATCAATGAAATGACACTGCCGTGGTAATATTAATTTTAATTTGATTTATTATAGTTTTCTAAACTACTGAAGACTTGTTTGGTTCAATTACCAAGTGTTTGGAGATGATAATATAGTATTTACTATCATCAAGGCGTTTGGTATGTTATTAAGGGTGTGTTTGGATGAAACCAAACCATGGTTTGAAAAAGTGATTCTGAAAAATAGATTCTGGGAAGAATAGATTTTGTGAAGAATAGATTTTGTAAAAAAGTGATTCTCAGAAGTGAGAGTGTTTGGATAGTTGTTATCAGAAGCACTTTTTATATATACAAATTACTAAAAAAAAGACATAAGTTAATATGATAATTACAGAAAAAATATATTTTATGATATATTTTAATTTGAATGAATAAAATTGTTAATAATATATTTTTTATTAACATATATTAATAATATATAAGATAATATAATTAATATGTAGATATATTTATAAGATATAAGATTAAATATGTTTATAAAAAATATGTTTATAAAAAAAAAACAAGATACATATCCTATAGGCTCTCACACTCTCCCTTTTTTCTCCAAAAGTAAAAAATTTCTGCTTTTCCCAAAACCATGGTTTTGGAGTCAAAACCATGGTTTTGAACCCAAACCATGATTTTGATTTTTTTTAAGGGTGTTTGGCTAACATTTTTCCCAAACCATGGTTTGGGTGCTTGCCAAACACACCCTAAGAGGATGTTTGGCAAATTGTTAAAAAGCACTTTTGGGTCTCAAACACAGCTTGAGTCCACCTAAATCTATCCAAACACTCCAAATTTTTTGAAAATCATGGTTAAGGACAAAATTATGATTTTAGCCTCCAAAACCAAGGTTTTGCAAAAAACAAAAAAAAAATGCTTTTGAAGCTTAAAATGGTCATTGTAGTAATTATAAGGGTGTTAGAAGTTAGATAACCGCATTTGAACACAGATATCCTTTAGACTGAAATCGCCTTTTCTCTTGCTCGTTCATGTCTTATTTATTTATTTTTTTTATCTTGCACTGTAACATGTTTAAAAAAACTACTTGTACAAATATTATGGAGTGTTTGGATTATACCAAACCATGATTAGAAGAATAGTTTCTGAGAATAGATTCTTGGGAGAATAGATTTTGTAAAGAATAGATTTTTTGAAAAAGTGATTCTGATAAAGTGAGAGTATTTGGATCGTTGTTATCAGAAATACTTTTTATATGTATAAATTACTAAAAAAGATGTAAGTTAATATGATAATTACATAAAAGATATATTTTATAATATATTTTAATTTGAATGAATAAAATTATTAATAATATATTTTTACTAACATAATTAATAATATATAAAATAATGTAATTAATAAATAATTAATATGTGTATATATATTTATAAAATATATGATTAAATATGTTTATAGAAAAATAATTGAGGGGTGTTAAGTCATATTACCATTGAGATCTATTCTGACAGGCACAATCATATTTTTCAATTTGAGTTAAAAGCAGAATGGATTCACTTTCTTTGAAACCATGGTTTTGAGCCCAAAACCGTGGTTTGTTGATTTATTCCCCTGTTTGGCAAATTTTTGACCTAGACCATGGTTTGCTCATAATTATTTTGACAATTAATATGTTATTTTTATTTATGTTTATTCAATTTTGTGAAAAAATATTATGAGATTTTATGTTTAAAATCTTTAAGGTAAAATAATATTTTTTCGTTGGCAAAAAAATCATTTTTGAAAATATATTTAATCTTATATTTTATAAATATATATACACATATTAATTATTTATTAATTACAATTTTTATATATTATTTATTATGTTATAAAAAATACATTATTAACAAATTCATTACTTCAAATAAAAATATATTATAAAATCTATCTTTTATGTAATTATCATATTAACTTATGTCTTTTTTAATAATTTATACATATAAAAAGTGTTTCTGATAACAATTATCTAAACACTCTCATTTTATCAATATCACTTTTCATAAAATCTATTCTTCCAAAATCTATTCTCAAAAATAACTTTTTTCCCAAAGTGGGTGTTTGGATGAAACCAAACTATAGTTTGGAGAATAACTTCTGGATGATAGATTTTGTGAAGAATAGATTTTGTGAAAAAGTGATTCTGAAAAGTGAGAGTGTTTGGATAGTTGTTACCAGAAACACTTTTATATTTGTAAATTATTAAAAATGGTATAAGTTAATATGATAATTATATAAGGGATAGATTTTATAATATATTTTGATTTAAAGAAATAAAATTGTTAATAAAATTATTTTTACAACATAATTAATAATATATAAGATAATATAATTAATAAATAATTAATATGTATATATATATTTATAAATTATAAGATTAAACAATGAAGGACAGAGTGAGGCATTAATTATGAGGGTTGCCTTGTCATATGTTATTGGGCCCACACCAATATCTGGAAAATTTGAGCCAAGAGCAACTTCAAACCATTTCCACTGAAAACCATGGTTTTGGAATTCAAAATCATGGTTTTAGTCCAAACTATGGTTTCACATTTTTTTTCCTCTGTTTGGCTAACTTATTCCCCAAATCATGGTTTGGGTCTACAAACCATGATTTGGGGAGACATCCAAACAGAGCCAAAAACTATTATCCAAATCATGGTTTGGTTTTATCCAAACACCCCCTAAAAATATTGGGCAAACTATTACTTTTTTCATTTAACCAAATAAAAATATTAACAAAAAATCCTAAAAGCCCTTCAATTACAACCACAATCGCCTTCTTCCTCTGCTCTTCCTCCACTCGTGCGCCTCCTTCTGCAACTCATATTTAGGGTGT